CTCTATTTCATTACCATATTTTCAATTCCTTGTACATATTTCTTTTCTTCCAATACCCTCCATTAATATTATGATCTGCCACAATAGTCATATCAATTATTAGACCAGTTATATTCTTTTTATCTAGTACATATATATCTGGTATTTTATGATATAGTCCATCACTTTTTGATATTATTTGTTTGTTCCATATCATAGTGATGTCATTGTATTTGAACACTGTTTCATATGGGGGTTTCTTGTATTGTTTATTTCCTGTGTATTTTCTTATTATCTAATATGATAATGCCAATATGGTCATGTTTCTCCATCTGTGATTTTTTATGACAAATACAAGATAATAGAATGTGTTCTACTGTGGCTATCTTGTATTTACAAAGTGGGCAGTACTTCAATCTTTCATTTTTTAATATTTTATCTTTCCTGTACACACTAAATATTGCTCCATCTTGTATTTTAGTTAATTGGAGAAATGCATTTTTCTTTATATTGATGGACTTTAGTGCATTTATTGTAGTAGTTTTATCTACAAATTTTGACTCGAACCATCTTCTAAAATGTCCACTTGTTTGATTTCCATTTTTTGATGTATTGGTTGTCATTAATTTATTTATTATTAATACTACTTCTTTTTTATTTTTATTTTCACTTCATTTATTATTTCTTCTATTTTCGTTTCTGGGATTTTATGACCTAGGGCTTTTTTAATTCTATTCCATATTCCTTTCTTGGAATACCATCTATCTATTATGTTATTTCTTATTTCACTCTTGTACATTAGTACATTACTGTTCTGATTATTTCATTAACACATTCGTCCCTTAGGCTTATTAATCATTCACAAATTTCATTTATATTGACATATAGACGGTCTTTGGAGTTACAACTAATGTATTTTGCTTTTCTTAAATATTTTCTTATCTCCAAATCCATTCTATCTAGGTCAGTTACCTTCCAATTTACTACTGATGCTGAATATCTGAAGATGGGTATTACTTCATTATTAATTCTTGTAATATATCTTCTATTACTACTTTCATCAGTATTTATTTCTTCCATTTTCTTCATCATCTTTTATTTGATGATTTTACAATTGAAGGTATCATTAATTTCATCTGACTGCCATACTCCTAAATATTTATACAAGTCCTCTCCTTCAATTAATGTGATGTTTTGCATTCAATCTGGTATTTTATTAATGTTCTTTAATATCATTCCTGATTTCTTTTCATTTCCATCCCTATTCCACTTATTATTTGTTTAATTTCATTGTGGATTGTTACCATTTCTTCACTACTTTGTGTCATTATTCTCAAATCATCCATATACAATGTATGGTTTGATTTTGGGAACTTCTCTTCTATGATTTGAGAAATTACATTCATTTTGATGATGAAGAGTAGAAATGATAACGAATCACATTATAAAATTCATCAATTTAATACATCCTAGATATTCATTATATTTATATCCTATGAATATCTTCCATCTATTCATCATACTTTCTACAATGTCTATGATGACACCCTCTACATTCAAATATTTAAGTGTTTCTATTACCCATTCATGATTTACTGTTTCATATCCTTTCTTAATGTCATAATATGACTCTACATATTTTGTGTATTTCTCTTCTTTTTGCTGCTTTAACATATAACTGTTAATTAACCCTTCTTTAGCAGCAAGAGATTGCAGTTTACATCCCAACTGATTTTTACTAATTTTTAATGATTCACTATTCATGTTAATTCTATTGTGAATCTTCTCTTTCAATATGGAGGTAAATACTTTCATTATTACATTTGTACAACTGATATGACGATAATTAATGACATCGTTCCTATCACATCCTTTGTTGATTAGTATAGTTCTTCCACTTACCATATCTAGAGTGATGTTTTCGGGGAAGTTTAACCAATCATTGAATATATTAAGAATGGAATCTCTTGATGATGACATTCTCTTCCAATAATACCCATATATAATGTCAATACCTGGTGCTTTCCAATTACTTATTTTCATCATTCTTAAATTTAAATCATCCAATGTGATGATGACATTATCATAATTTCTATATCTTTCATTCCACGAGGTGATTTGTTTTATTTTCAAATGTTCTTTATTTAATATCATCTGTGTTTCATATAACGATTTCAAATATTCTAAAATAATATCGTTATTTGGGTATATTTCATTTTGTTTTTCTTCTTTATTTTAATTTTGTTATTAGAATCAAACATGATTTTATTTGTATTGATTCTGACATTTTCATTCTTATTAAATTTAATTCTTTCTTTAATCATCGTCATCATATATTTTATGTACTTTATTCTTTCTTGTGATTTAATTTTAATTTCATCTGCATCTTGTTCATTTAATCTCATGATGCATTTTATTCTGTACCATTCCATTGACTAGATCTTCTAATCTATTTATTTTCCTTAGGATTTCTTTTACTTCATCAAATTTATCTCATTTAAATTTATTTTAGAGATAATAATACATACACATTGAAATCATTTTCATATCTTCTTGAAGATTTTCTATTCTCCTGACCATACCCATTTATTATTAATTTCTCTAATTAATTTATCTGATTCTTTCCTTCTCCAGTAGTAATTAATATTTACACATTTATCTATCTTCATTTCTTTAACTTGAGTGATGATAGAGTTAAGATATTCATCATCAATATCAGTAGAGTTATTTTTTATGATAATGTTTTTTATTATTGGATTACACTCTACTTTCCCTTCTATGATTGAGTTCATTTTCATTTTAATATATCTTTTAGTTGTTTCTTTTATTTTATGTGATATTTTAATAATATTAATGTATTCTTTATCATTATTTACATTATTATTTATTACTTTTATTATGCTTTCTATTTGTTCATTTCTTAATTTCTTATTTAATTTCTTATTTAACCAATTAATTGCAAATCAATACAACACATCAATTAAATTTCTATTTGTTTGATTTGTTGTGTTTTCTTCTCTTCTTGATTGATATCATTTCTTGTTTTTTGATATTCAGTGTTTGTTCTCTTCTATTTCCAGAATTGTCTTTTTCATAGTGGTAGTTTTGTTCATTTGTATTGTCCATGATGATGTTCTCAGTATTTGTTGGTATTTATCACTAGAGTCATTGTTTTCTTCTTCTCCAGTTCCTTCTGGGATAAAAAATTTTCGATACTTTCTTGTTGTTTTGATATTAATTGTTTTTGTTCTTCATTTTCTCTTTGTGTATTGTCTAATGCTTTTCTTGTTATTTCTGCAATCTCATAGTTTTGAATCTCACTTTTTTGATATACAGAGATTTGATTTTCTTTATCTCTTATGTTCTTCTCCAGCTCAGCACTCTTCTTCTCCAGCTCATCACC